GTGAAACAATACAGTGCAGGTCTGATTTATTTCCCTTGTGAGTATGGTCTCTAGTTGTATCCATTTACCTGTAAAAGCCTCGAGTTTATCTTTCTTTACAGGTAATACTCCATTATATAAAAATACAACTTTTTTATCCACCCTTAGTTGATGGGCATTTGGGTTGCTTCCACAAGTTAGTGATTACAAATTGCACTGCTCTAAACATGGTGCACTTGTATCACTGTGGTATGTTCTTAGTTCTGGAAAAATACCCAAAAGGGAAATAGCTGGGTTGAATGGGACCTCTAATCCTAATTACTGAGGAATCTCCAGACTGATCTCCACAATGGCTTCACGAATTTACACTCCAAAAATCGCTTTTTAAAAAAATGTGTATTTCACAACAAATTCAACTTGAAAATTGTTAGTGTGGGAACACACATAAGCATACTTTTAGCAAATATATATAGGCTTGGTGTAGTCTAAGTAAAGGGCACTAACAGTTGCAGACAACTTTGGAAACACCCAGGCCCGCAGTTCAGGCTATAATCTCACTCACCAAAAGCCCACCCTCCCCGCCCTCACCTCACGACTGTCCTTGTATTGTACCAAGCAAATATCACGCTGGTGCCAAACTATCATCACACCAGTTTCTTCTGTTTGTACTTGGTCTTCACTTTACATTTAAACTTGTGGCTATTTTAGAAAATCTGTAATTCTACCAGCATGTCCTTAACCTTCTTCCAAAGCATCAGGTTTCAGCAAAGGCCACATCACTGTTCTCTGGAGTTGAGTAAGATTCCAAGTTAAATTATTAAAGATTTTGGAATTCCAAAGATAAATCAATTTTAAGATAGGTGAATACATGTACAACAGGTGGCAAATACAAAGTTGGATAATTCTGGCTTAAAAATAAAAAGATGGCCATCACTCTCCTCCAAGAAAATACACTGTACGAAATAATCACGAATGCCTCATGGCTTAGAACTTGTTTCTTACCTATTCTATTAATTTGTAACTCTTTAAAAGACATGTAACAAAACTTCTGTAAAACTTACCTAAATGCAACACTGCTGAAAAATTAGTTTGATGAGTATTGGTATTGTCTAAGCCATTCATTTTCTATGTACTTCTATGCTTATCTTGAAATTGTAGCTTGTTTGCTGGCAATAAATGTTTCTTGCAAATCACTAGTTTTGAGAAGTCATCTGGCAAACCAGTTTACCCAAAGGGAAGATCTTTCTAAACAGGAATAAAATCTTTAAATTTTATTTTTGCTAAACGGCCCTCCCTCATCTGCTTCTGAAATTCAGATTACTGCACATTGAAGCATCTAAAATTAGAGCCTACTTACTTATATTTGGCAGGAAAAGATCATTAGTCTTTAAGAGAACCACTTTTCTTCTGGGAAGTTTAGTGACAACTTGAATCTTACAGACTGGAAAAACATTCTCATCATGGAAGCAAAATATACTAACGGCCCCCTAAATCTTTAGCTCACCCATCTTTTCTTTTAAAGCATTATTAAGGCAAAAACAACACACTCAAGAATATACTAGGCTCCAACTAGCGCGAGCACCTGGTATGAAGCTTTGCTTCCTTATTTGAAGATGGAGTGGTCTGGAGGACCAGCAATGTTCCCATCACTCCAGACTGGCTTGGTGTACTATGGTAACGGAGCACATCAGTTAGATGTGCTAGGCCTCAGTTCTTACTCAAATACTGCAACCTCTCTCAACAAGGTCTCTATGAACATGACACACACACACTTCACGGAAACTGAAAGTTAAATACCACTGTCTGCAACATTAGGACAACTACTGAGCAAGCCATACAGTGACGATGCTCTACTCTGGGTCCACACCCCAGCATCCCACCTTGTAAGGGGTTCCCACAGCACTTAGATCCAACTGCAAGTACGCAATCCTTTAATTCCTTATTTTACCTGTCAATCCACAGCGCAAACACAGAAAAGCACTATCCAAATGTACACAAAGGAACGCTATTTTATTCTAACCCCAGAAACTAGTTTGGTAATCAACAGCTGTACCAACATTAAAAAATGTACTCACACTAAAATCGTGTACACACGTGCAACTTTGACATTGTGGGATTGCTGAGAACAATACTTTGCTGGCTTCAGAGTTTAATAAAAATGTATTAAAAATACATTCCCGCATACTCTGATTAACTACTGAAGGCTCAAAAAAAACTTTTCAAGTCCAACTTCCAATGAAACATTTTTTTAAATCCATGCTATGATTTAGGTGTCAAGGGACATACTGCTAATTGGTAGGGCATTCTAATAGATGTAAAAGCAGGCATTCTAATTTGTGCTACTACTCTGTGGGGTGGGAGCAAAGTTTACAAACACACCCTAAATTTCCAGAGTCCTCTGGACCTCCCTTTCCATTGTTTCCTAGCTCCAAATCACTGTAACTAAACACACAATGTAAGACAGACTGAGTGCAACCTATCAGCCAATCTTCCATTATCTGAGACAGACGAACTTTCAGTGAGCAACACTAAGTACATTACAAACCACCACCTCTGGGAGGAATCCAGAATTCTGTTAAATGGCAGTTTAACAAACAAGAAATGCAGGGAGCCAACTGCTTGGGCTTTAACACCCATTCTAAACCGGGCATGGTGGCACAGTTTGTAATCCCAGCACTGGCCTGTAATCCCAGCACTCGGGAGGCTCAGGCTGGAGGATCGTTGAGTCTGAGACCAGCCTGGGCTACAAAGTGAGCTCAAGGACAGCCTGAACTGCGTTGCAAGACCCTGTCTCCAAAAGACCAAAAAACAACCAACCAACCACCCGTCCCCAACTTGTAAATTCCGGTCCTTCCACCTCCAGCACAAGCCCAACGTCCTCGCATTAACTTGCACCACAACAGTTATGTGAGCGTTCTCAGGCCTTCCCAGAAGGGATGGGAGTCTCAATAGAGATAGCTGACCTCTAGCATTTCCTCTGGCAGTCAGCAGAGCAGGACAGACAGCCCCGCTGGGCGTACAAAAGAAAGGAAACAAACCTGGAGCTCCAGCTATCAGCAATCTGAGGACCCTTAATGTAAAATGCAGCATCAGAAATGATGTGAATGAGCTAGAACGTTATTTCACAAAACTATAAAAAATACAAAACCACTGATGTCTTAAGGTACTGCTTTATTAGGCAAGGTGGCAATTAAAAGGTGGCTACGGACACATACCAGCACAAATTCATGCCCAAGTGAACGAGCTGCATCTTGAGGGCAACTGAGTGGGAGGCAGGAGGGTCACCATGGAGACCAAGGCCAGCCTGAACTAGCCTGTTTCAAAAAAAAAGACAACTGAAGTAGCAAGGCTAAGCCTCTCCCCGTGTGAAGCATTGAAGACTCCTCACACGAAGCTAATTGAAAAGTTTGGTTTATACAATTGATAATTCTGCAAACTCCACAACATAAATGTCAGTAACTACATATTTTAAATACTGTAATAAAAATAAACAAAGTCAGTAGTTAATTCTATAAAGCACTGATAACCTACGAAAACGAATTCTGAATAAAGGCGTATCTAATAAATTAGGCAACATCTGAACTAGTAGACTGGGAAAAAACTGAACTTTTGTAGTATGTACACAAAGGCATAGCAACAAATGAAAACAAATCACTCCACTCTGCAGCACAGAACACACTGGGCCATATTACTAATAGTTACACCTTCTTTCCTTCAGCCTGGCACCAACAGCAGTCAGTCACCAAGCCCAGGATTCGCATGTCCTGTGTCTCCAACACGGAGCGGACACTGCAGGATGTTTGTTATTAAGCAGCTTACTGTGATTTCACACCACAAGTGGCAGTCAGAAACAGTAAAAAAAATTAAAAGGCACGCATAGCTGATTTCAAATATTTTTAGTCCAGGCTCCCCTCTTTAGATACAATGTTTAGAACACTAGTAGAGCAAACACAACTTTTAAATGAACATTTCCCAATACTCCAATACACAACTTTGGAACAATGAAATCTGTGGGGAAAAAAGTTACATTAAGAAAAGTTTTAAGACTCATGAAGTAAATAGAGCTAACCTGTATTTAGAGATTATAAAAAAAAGACTGATAGGCAACCTATTCTTTAGGGAAGTAAATGATGTCTGACTTCAGAGTGACACGTATTATGTTTCTGAAAGTTCTCAATACAGTTCATGCCTATTTAAAATTCTATCTTTAAAGATAATTAAATTTTATTGTTCCTTACCACAATTAACTCTTCGAAGAGCTCAAAACGAAAGCAGTAACATTTTTCTTAGCATGCATGCACAAAATAATCTACCATAATCATCTCATTAATTGAAATGTTATCAACTTTAAAGAATGATTCAACTGTCTCAGAAATACTGGAAACATGTTTTCTACTGTGACATCTCAGGAAGCACACTCTATCCATACCCTTTTCCTGAATGAAGGTTTTAATACCAGCAGACTTAAACATGTAAGGGTGAGGCAGGTCTAGTGTGTAAAACTGAAGAGTCATCCATAAGATTTCACATGCAAAAAATAAAAAGAAGCAAAAACTTAAAGAAAGTTTAAATGTGTTTGTCCCAAAAATAAACATGCAAGGATGATTTGACCACCTCGGCCTTTCTGAATGTACAAAGCTAATTCTTTCTGATGGCCCTCTTTGAAAACAACCTAATATTCCATAAAACCTTAAACATTTTTCTAGTCTTTTAACTATAAATTGTGGTGATAATACTTATTTTCTAAAACAGAGGCACAGGTTGAAAAATTTAAACCTCTTTGTAGGTGTTGCTAATGTCTTTTAAAGGTAATACTTGATGTCGTAATTGCTCTATCGGCATAAAGTCTTTCTAAAAATAGTAGTCTTAAACACCAATCCACAAGTGCACTTAACATACACATAAGCCCTATGTTAAAAGTATTAAGGAGAGGAAGTATAGAATTTTTAACTGTTGACCATCAAAAAGTAAACCGCCCTCTTAAAACTTAACAGAACTTTAAAAAAAATTGCTTAAACATATGAATTTAAGACTTTACTTTATTCAGCAAAATCATTTATTTACACAGTGGGGAATGCTGGTTTGATTTTTCTCAATGAAATAAAAACAAATTGAACAGAAACAATACTGAACTGCATATGGATGTGACTTTATCAGAGTTGACCAACTGTTTCCTTACCTGTATCAGGAACATCAAGAGCAACAGTATCACACGGACACTGGTTAACAATATACCACACAGGTCCAGTAATAACCTGGGAATTTTCCACTGCAATTACCAACTTTTTATTTTTTTATAAATATATAAAAAAACAAAAAGCCAGCAGAACCAGCATTATGATGTATTACACAGAGTATGTGCAACTCCGAAGTCAGCGGAGCGGGTCAGTAAAAACCTTATCAGACCATCTACAGTGTCAGTGATCTCTTTCGCAGACCACGAACACAGAATCCAACAGGTGAAAAATATATCACTTTCTTTAGAAGACAGTAATGATCTGATAAGGATTTGACAATGGAAGTTAAGGGGGTAAAAAATAAAAGGGATTGCAGAGCATAGCCCCTATTAGAACAAGCTAACTTTCCAGATTTTCCAAATTTAAAAAAAACAAAAACAAAAAATAAAACAAAAAAAGAAAACACTTCAACATGAAGCTACCATACAAAGTTCTTCCGTTTTTCTTTGTGAAAAGTTCAGAGTTTGCAGTTTAATCCTGGGATTTTAATGTGAAGGACAGTTTGGGCCTGGACTTCCCCTTGCCCAGGATAATTTTTTGTTCTTCTTTTTGTTGCCGTTGCCGTTCTTGTTCTAGTTTCATCCTTTCCTCATGAATCTTTCTTTGTTCTTCAACAATTCTCAACTGCTCTTCAGCCTGAAAGTTCAAAGTGAAAGCGAAAGTCAGTCTCAAGCATCTATGACCCTGGTTGCTCCTCTAGCACTGCGGGTCACGGAGAAGACAAGCACAGCAGCATGTTTCAAAAGCACGCCGAGGGCCCGTCAGCGGTTGTGGCAAAAGACTGAGGAAATGAAACAGTTCTGATCAACTACACCTACCTTTTCATGAACAGTGACAAACTAACAGATTGTAGGACAACCCCAGTTTGAACATGAAATGTCTACAAATCGTGCCGAGATTACGTCCGACGCTGTCTTCTGTGCTCCACGTGAGCAGACTGTCGACTGTAAGCCTAGGCACGGACTTACTCTAAGAGCATGCCACCTACCAAGCATTACGTTCACAATGAGAAAGGGTACAAATCTTACGGGAAAAATTCCCACCAGAGCTACATTATGCTGTCCATATGCAACCAAGCAAGAAACACTACAGACCCAATTCCCTGGAGAGAAAACATGCGGAAACACTCTGCCCTTGCTGACTATAAAACGCTATCTGACTTCAAATGCTATCAATTCCTGTAGTGCCTCCAACTCCTTCAATCTTCAGCAACTGATTTCCTCCCTTTACTCTTCCACAGAAGGTTTTACCTCTTTATCAAGGTCAGGCTATTCTCATGAGCTCTATCTCTGACACATCTCTCCTTCCTGCCTTCCGAAGATACCACACTCACTTCCTCACTCTCCACCAGACCGAACTCTGCTTCTGCTGAAGGACATAACACAACAGTGAGAGCGACGCTGGGTGGACAGCAGAGGACAGTGACAAAGCTATGTCCCTACAAAGGACAGAGTATGGCTCCCAGGGTTACACGCCCCTGAGCTCAACAGTACCACCATGAAGAAGGGCTGTTCGCAGCCTTGAGTGTTTAATTGATCACATTTACTCTCCTTCCTTCTCTCTGATCTTGATTCCAATTCCAGGCCAAATTTTATATCCCTGCTATCTCCACTATTCTAACGAAACTGTTTTCAATACGGTCAACAAACTAAATCCAATGACCTTTCTCTTTGTTAGGATAAAGGCTTCTGCTCACTTAGGTCTCTTCCCACATTCTGTAATGCAGAGCACTAAGGCACTCCACTTGATCACTCCTGCAGTCTCCAGACTGTTAAAAATCTTAGAATTTTATCCTATAGTAGCAAAAGGAGGAAAAACAAAATGCTTTAAGCATGTTAAGACAAAAATGTTTCAAGACAGCAAAGTGGGGTAGCCTGCCGCACAGCAGACAGACCACACTGGTACAGCAGACCCACCGTGTCGAACACACAGAGGAGACAGAAGGAAAGCAGCAGCGCCGCGGGGCCCACGTGAAAGCCCGACACCGCCGACACAGCTTCACCCTCCTCCCACGCCGCACTTGCAGCGCGCCAGTGGACACCACCCGGGAGATCTACCGGTCCCTTCGAAATACAAAGTGCTCAATCTGTGCTCAAGTCGGCCGTCTCTGCTGTCCAGATTCCACAGCTGGGCTTTGTCTTCTCCTTCCCTAACAGCTGGTCATGGAGTTTGCCAATTCTTCCTTCCTACTTGCTCTGTTCTAGCGTTTATTTCCCTTTCTACTGTCACTGCAGGGCCACAGATCTCTTACACCCTTTGAACAGTGTTCCATTTCCACTATCTCCAATCCACCCCGTAAATATAGTCAGACTTACCTTTCTTCACCTTGTACCCTCCTGACTCCCAACTTCCCATGTTTTCTACTCTTCAGAGAACAGTCCGAGTTCCCAACTTACTATGCCTCTACTGGCTTTAAGACTTTCCCAAATCCCTACCTGACATTAGAAGCCACTGAGAGTTAGTAACTACCACAAAAAAATGACGTGCTTCTGATCTTCAGTGAGCTCATACGGCAACTACTTTATCCAGTTTTAATAAACCTCACACATACAGGGAAGAGCTGAAGTGTACACAGCTGAAAGCTTGCACACATGCAACACAGGTTACTTTCACAAGGTTATTTATCACAGTGGAACTGTACAGGGAAGACTGGAGAAAAATGCTTACCACCTGCCCACTAACTAAGTCACATTAGGAACAGGGGTGGTGGTGGAGAGAGGCCATGTTCTCTAACAGATGAGTTTATAAAGAATTAAGTGAAAAAAAGCAAAGTACCGAACACCACAAATCATTCGATTTTGTGCAATAAAGGAGAACAAAAATATTATGCATTTATATCTAACCAAACATGCATTTTAAGGAGCTAAATAGACACAGACACAGACACACACACTCTGGAACTAGTAAGGGGAAGAGGTAGATGGGAGGCGAGCCAGAGGAACTGGACTTTCTATTTAAAAAAAAAACCTGCAACCCTAAGATCATATTACCTAATCAAAAAAGTAATACCTATTTTAAAATAAAGTAACTTTTTTTCAGAAATACAAAATACTAATTATATTGCACCGTCCCTCTCAGTCAGGCCCACAAACCCGGGGGCTGGACGTGTGAACGTGGAGCGGGCGGGCTGCAGTCTCTACGAGCGCACAGCCCAGAGGGGTTAGCCCAAGTAAGGAACATCACTCCAGTCAGGAGAGCTTCACACAACACAACAGTCAGGCGGCCAAACACCCCGCCCTTACATAAAAATATCTGTATTTTATTCCACTGTAGCTTTCTACGCCAAGGATAAGATCGCTAACACAAGGCAAAGTCACCCCTGATGTAAACAGTGGCCGCAGGACCCTGGTGTGGCTGTAATCCTTTGCCTGCTTAGTAGGTGCTTTTCTAAATCCGGGACTCCGAACTTTTGCATCCTGACTGAAATACTTGCCAGAAAGCACCTATTGTTTTTCTCCTTTCCTTTATTTCACATTTAGGCAGAAGAAAAATATTCACATAGGACAAAGAAATATTAAGCTGACCCACAGGACTGTACGGCGGACACATCAGAGGCCAGGGAGAACACTAGTTAGGACAGGTCTTGCTGACCCTCGCCCCCAAGGCTGCATCCCACTCCTAAGAGTGATGGTGAGAAGGAATACACACACGAGCAATGCACTGCCAGAGGTAAGGGCTCCGCTACCCTCCGCGTGTCTTCCTTCTACCCATCTCCTTGACCCAGACAGCCTTCTTGTAGATGGTCCTTTTACCGTTCTGAAGCTACTTATAAATTTTACCATGGTGACCCATTAGCAACCGTCCCTTTAGAAGGTAAGGACAGGGAAATGCGCTTACCGCACACATATACAGTACACATATGCACATGGTCAGAAAATGCACAGCTAGGATCCACACCACTCCTCAGAAACAGGGGCCTTTGGCACGCTAAACCTTCCCAGACACAACCCCAGTACACTCTGCCATTTAATTCCTTGATGCGTCTTCTACACTGTATCAACACACCTCTCACTACAGCTAATCAAACAAATAGGAAAATTTTAAAAAATGAATGAGATGTCATTAGTTCTTAGAAAACTACAGAATAAGAAGCACAGAAGCCTGAGACACAGCGATGAAGTTATGCTTCCAGTTATCTACATGGGTATTCCCAGCCCAAACCCACACTCAAGAGGTCAGAAGGGCCGGCGATGTAGCTCTGCAGCACAGTGCCTGCCTGGTAAGCACGAGGCATGCGTTCGATTCCCGGTACGAAGGGAAAAAAAAGATAATCAGCTACTACCTAAAGAGACTCGTCACCACTACAGCATTTTCTTCTCGTTTTAGTGACCCTCTTGCTACCACTACCACTTAGCTCATTTGGGAAATTTCTGCCTTAGATTTGGTCCCATTATTCCATGAAGACAACTGCTTCAGGACAGAAGTAACCGGTCACCAACCAGTGCACGCAAACGTCACTACGAGTGATTAGTAGAGACTCTAAGCCGGATGTGGGGGCACACACCCATATTCCCCGTGAGTTCAAGGGTGCCAGTAAGTTCAAGACCAACCTGGACTACATGGCAAGACCCTGTCTCAACACCCCCCGCAACAGTGATTTTATTACTGATCTCGTCAGTATTAGATGCAAAAACCACTGCCTCAGAGCTCAGAAGCCCTGCTCTGCAATACCACCAGGAGAAGCATGGGCTTTCCGCAGCTTTCAGACTTCGTGCTCTAAAAAGGCAGAGAAAGGCCTGTACAGCTCTTCCACTCCCCCGCTCCCTCTGCACACCCCTCCGCTCCGCAGGTTCATCAGTAGCCAGTGCTCTCTCCAGTTTGTAAGAGCTGCTGCTTCACGGACGCAAGCCCGTGTTCTGACCAGCTTTCAGCAGCTTCCAGTTTCTGTCCTTCAAGCCATCCTACACAGTGCCGATGCACTCACTGACTGGGATCTAGAAAGTCACTTTGCAAAATTGTTGCACCGAGTACATTAACAAAGAATGAAGGAACAAGCCTCTGACGCCGACTGAAAATCTTTACCTCACACCTCCCTACCACTTCACTTCAAGTGAAACTATCTGACGTTTACGTTCAGCACTTGCACATACAACACTATCAGCATCCTCAGCGCCGTTCCAACGTTCACACACTCACCCTCCTGCACACTTCCCTTTCCCGCTGTAAAGAATCTCACAGCTCGGCGGCTCAGAGCAGACCTGTCAGCAGCAGTGACAGCGGCACAGGGGAGCCCGGGGACCGGCGGGACACACCCCCAACAAAGGCCCGCAGGGACACTGTGCACCTGCCTCTTGCGAACACCTCTCCGACAGCACAGGACACTGTCCTCTGAGCTCTGTCCCCTCTTCCGGGGCGTGCACTCTTGGGCGTCCCACAGCCTCCCTCCATCAAGGCTTACGTGTCCTTTTTAGTCCTCACTGGTGGCATTTCTGCTACAGCGTCAGAAATCTCACGGTTTTAGTACATCTTCTGCCGCTATCACAGAAAACCACCAACTGGGTAAAGTACTAAATGGAATTTGCTTCTCGCAGTTTTGGCATCCGGTGAAAGCCTTCTTGCTGCACCAGCACAGGGCCGAGGGCCTGCTTGGCTAAGCGGGGAGAGCAGACACACTCAGCGAGTGCAGCCCTCGCTCCACTCCCACTCCCACTCCCGGCGCTGGCTGGAGAAGAGGAGCACTCGAGCACAGGGCAGAGGACGGCCCTGGCCTTTCCCAGGTCCCCCTGCCCTGGGCCAGCCGGCTCTCCTCCGGTGCAAGTCCCACGCGAGCACACACCCACCACTGGGCGCCGGCTCCTCTTAACCTCAGCTCTTTATCGTCTCTTTTGCCGTTCTACAGTGAACAGCAAGCCGCCAGACAGCACCTTCCACGTTTCTCCTAACTCTCCCTGTGAATCCTGCCTTGCACAGCGCTGTAGGACACTGTCCAGTTAGGGCTTCTATTACTGTTTTTAAAGGACCTGTCCGCCTTCAACTTCCGTTCTAGGTTTCTCATTTGCTGTTGAACCCTCACCAGAAGTCCGTGATTCTGCCAAGTCTTTTTTAAAGCGATGTACGTATTTTCTACAATGTGCCTGAAAATCCTTCCAGATCCTACCCACCCCCAAAGCCAGGCGGACGTCTACAGCTCAAAACAATAAAAAGTTTACTCTTGAGGCAGTCTGAAATCAGGAACAGCAGGCTGAAAGGATGTTCAGAAGGCCACGCCCGCGGGAGGCTTCGGGAGAGCCCCCACCGCCTCCTGCAGCTCGGGGCTCCCAGGCAGGGCCCGCTCGCCGCTCTCGCTGTGCCCTGCCACGTTCCCACGAGCTGTGGGGCGTTTCCTGTCCTCGTGCAGCACCCTTGCTGTGGGACCCACTGTTCACTCACGGGACCCGCGGAGGTCTTTTTTTATAAACACAGTGTCACGGTCTGTGTCTGGGTGTCCCCCTGAATAGACGGAAACTTCCACTAACTGTGAGTTAAATAAGCCTTTCCTTTCTTAATATTGGGTGTCAGGTATTTTGTCTCAGTAACGAGAGAAAAGTAACCAAGATACACAGGCACACAAATTTTTTTCAGAGAATTAAGAAAAGTTTGTAACTTGCTCCCTCCCAACCCCCCGTCTGCAATGACTAAGCAGCAAGTACCTTTCTTGGGCTTTCTCAACAAGCTCTAACCAGACAAGTTTTTCCAGATGACTTAAACTAAGCACCCCTCTGGGTCCTGGGTTCTGGGCACTAAATACCACTACTGCCGCCACCACCCCACCACCCCAGGCCACCTTCCTTCCATCTGCGCTGTGCGCTGCATTCTCACTCCGAGGCACTTTCTCTGCAGCCTCGTCATGGAGAAAACATTTTTGTGTGTGTTCCTCTAGCTCTAGCTTCCTTCTTCCCTCGACTGAGGCTGCCCCAGTAACACTCACACTCAAAAACCCAGGTCTCCACAACACAATATTCTACTTTAAAAATGTTCAGCCACAAGTACTCAACACAAAGTGAAAAGAAAAACAGAAGTGGTTTTTTGCCCTATTTTTAAACAAATTCTTACGTTGGCTTCTTTATTACAATTTTTCAACGCTCTATGCCACATTTTATATCTCTATCATGTCAGGCTCCTTCTGGTCGGGTTATACATGAGGAAGAGGAAACAGAATTTATTACTCTGGTACACTTGCTCAAGTGATTGATAAGGCAACGAACATAAAGTAAAACGCTGCACATCAATTGCTGCTTAGTTTTGAGACCAAAAAAAGAAAATTCAAATAAGGTTAGGATAAAAAAAAAAAAATGAGGACAGGTGATAATAGGACTTTCTCAAAAAACCTGTTTCAAACCACTGCAAATCTTGGAATTCTCTCCACATCAGGGTTAAAACTCTACTCAAGCATTTCTCCTGTTGCTTGAAACTCAAAGTCCTTCAATTCTGTAAAAAAGAAGTCAAACCGTACAGCACAAGGCCACTCCACAAACACCGAAGGAAGAACAAGGAAGCACGCGTAGACTCCTCGCACGCGCGCGGCACTCACCAGTTTGGCTTGTGCTTCTGCAATTTTTCGGTTATTTTCTTCCAGTATCCGCTCCAGCTCCTCACGTTTTGCTCGTTCTTCCTCCTAAAGGGGAGGACAGGTTAGGATGTTAGAAAAATAAATTGTTTATTGTTATTCATAAATATTCACTAATCTTCCTCTGAACTCTTTTGATCTGACTTAAAGGGTAGCTGTACAGCCACCGTCTGTCTGACAAATGATAAACTGTGCAGTCACTAAAATCGGTCTCTAGCACTAAATTTAAATTATCCCTCCCAGTCCAAACAGCAACCGACTAAACCCTCCCTAATGATAGTTTCCTGGTAATTATTACTAATACTTTAATATCACACAAATCAACAAGGACAACTACAAAACTGGATAGTATTTACCAAATTAAAAAAATAATATATAAAATATAAATAAAGTGAATATTTGTCTCACCAATTATGTATACCTACGTATTCTTTACCTATACTCCTTTAATCAGCATTAAAAGTTGAATATTTACTGTCTTGTCCAGTGTCCTGCAGAGTGTGCTCCTCGGCTGCCATACGCGCCAGCTTCCTCTTTAAAATGATTTGTACTGTTAGCTTGGCAATACCTGCATCGGCAGCTCAACCATTTATAAAGGAACAACATACAAGGAAGGCTGAGCTGAGGAATGCAGATGTTTATGGTAAGAAGGAACAAAAAATGTAATTCATCATTCCTAAGGCAAACAATTAATAAGAAAAATACATTTACTGTTAGTGAAAAATACAAATGGTAATCCATACTTCATGGAGCTACGGGCTTCTTCCGTGGGGAAAATGGGCTTAACGCTCGGATGTTGACAACTGCTAAAGGCAGCTGAAACTGTCACCTACGGTCTGAACTGAGATTCAGGAATCCGGGGGAGGCATGGTCAGGAAATAAAACTCTTCCATAATTTATTTTTCTTGGAGAATTTAATGAAATTTTATAATGCAAACTATATGAAGACTGCTTGATGGTTTGGGCAGTGTTCGGATCACAGCAGACATATTCAAATGATTTTAATATTTGGAAAGACTGTCAAGAGGGTTGTGTCCGTGTTAAAAAAAAAAACTGTTAATATGAAACAAAAAGCAAATGAAGAGAAAAAAATCTTACTATGATTAATAACTCGCTACAAAATAGCACAATTACTCCAAAACTTAGTATTAAAAGCACTGATGCAATTAAAAATTTCATACATTCAATACTATAGTCTGAATCCACTATTAACCGAAACATGTACATCTAAAGACAGGACAAGGGAAAACGCAATTCAAAAGCTGCGCTTACTGAAAAGCAAAGAGATTAATACGATGTCAGCTTGTCCCCAGTAATGCCAAGATGGAAAATGACAACGAGTCATTGATTTCATAAGTCAAATATTTCAGTTTAAGAGAATTTAGCTACAGGATTTCCTACGTCACACCAATGAGATTCACATTCACCACGCAAGCTACATTGCTGGACACTCAGTGCTGTAAGTAATTGGCCTTGAGTGTTCGGTGACTTTCACCAAGCTCTAGGATCCTGGAGTAATCAGTGCGAGCAAGCCATAAAGCTTCAGTAGCAAATTACTGTCTCACAGAAAGACATTTTCAACTTCTGCTCCCGCTGCTGACAAAACAAATCATGTGTTTAGCTTGACTCCAGACAAGGACAACCTGTTCCTTCATAACTCTCTAGAGAAAAAAAGGAGTTGTTAGTAGGTACTAAAAAAATGGACGAATGCTCTGGACATGTTTCCTAAAAAGATTCCTTGAAACACATTAGGAAAATGGAGGGCCTTATGATCAGAATGCTAGAATTAGTCCACTGTATTGAAGCAGGCTTTGGGGAGAGGGGAGGGAATAAAAGGAGGAGGAAAGAAGAGTGAGAAAACCTAGTTACCAAAAGCAGGTACTGTCACTCAGTATTAGGCCCTGCTCTTTGCACTCTGACTGAAGGCAGAAAGCCTCTCACAGTCTAGGTAACAGAGTGATAAACAGAAAGGAATATACAACCACAGGAGGATTTTAACTGTTTCCCTTCACCACTCCCTGTCTCCCCCACCCTCCCAAGAGAATGTAAGTCCTGCAGCCATGGCAAAAGTTTCAAACACTTCTCAAATATGTAAGCCAGTTCCATTAAATCAAAAAAGTATCCTTGAATAAGTTTTATGAAAGTAACTTTTAAGTACCAGTGAGCACTTCTGAATAGGCTAAAAAATTAACTTTCGCAGCAATGTGAGTTTAGACGAGAAAGGAATGCGATAGTCTGTATTCCATCTCTTTCTGAACTGAGCAAGAGGCACAACCCAACACTGAAAGTTTTGCCATGGACTGTCTCTACTTTCCAAACGACCGAGCGTTACCTCTCTAGCTTTTTGTGCTGCAAGCTCAGCTTGTCTCTGTCGCTCGAGTTCTTCGAGCAACTGCTTTTCCATGATGCGCTTGGCTTCCTCCACCCTTCGGAGAACTTCTCGCTCGATTTCATCCTTCCTTTTCTCCAATTCTTCCTCTACCCTTTTTGCCACCAATTCTTCCACTCTTCGTGCTGTTTCTTCCTCGATGAGTTTTTCTTCTATTTCCTGCTGCCGACTAGCAAACAAAGCACAGAAAAAGACAATATTTTAAAAACCTAAGAATTAAATCTCCACTCATTTTAAGATTAGCAAATCATTGAACCTCATTTTACCTAAAAAAAAAAAACCTTTTTTTTATCATGTTCTACTTATAGAAACATACAAAGAGCCTACTTAACTTTTATTCAGGAACTATAAATATGAAACAAGTCCACTTTTGTTATTAACTTCATCATGACAGGACAAGCGGTTAAGATATATGGAATATGCCTATTTGTCAACAACTCAGTCTAAGGACTGACCCACAACAAAGTCAGAAGCATCCACCACACCACTGGCAATTTGGCTGAATTCACTTCCCTTTACCCCGAAGCGAAGATAGAATAAACAGACTTGCAGAGACTCTGCTGAAGTAACAGTTTGTGCAGCATTCACTAAAGTACAGACCAACTATTTACTCTGTTAAATAAGAGTAGAGACTAGAGGAACTTTCTCTCTTCTATTCTTCCCCCTTTGCTAACTGATTCCAGTAACAAGCATCTTCAGAGGTAGGAAAAGTAGAAAGGGGAAAATGTATTATCAAACTTTAGTGAAGCATGATACTCCTGTTTTAACTGTTTCAATCCCACCATGATACTGTAAACCAACTTATTCAAAAGTCTGCTGAAAATATTAACACTCATCAAATACTAGCATGCAAAATCTCGCACATTTTATACCAGTGACAGCCACCAGTTCCATGTATCTGAAGATTGCTTCAAAGAAAATCATAAGCTCTCAAATATTTTCAATTATTATTTTAGACAGATTGACAATATGTTGAAATTAATTCTCCTAGTTTTTCATATGGCTACTAGAAAATTTCAAATTGTTTATTTTGCTCACATTGTATTTCTGTTTAACAGCACACAGAGACAATAATTTGTGCTGAATGAATTCAGAGGCTCTTGCAGTATATTTAAATTCTAAGAGGCAAATTTATTAATGCTTCAACTTTCTCACAAATCCACCAAATTAAATAAAACTTTCAATTTTTATGTATTCTGATGACTCATTTGGCATATATAAGACAGTCCACAACTGCTATATTTAAGAGATTTTCTATGTGACCTTTAAACATCTCAATCTAACTCCACTCTAGTCTTGGGGGTGATGCAATCCCCACCTAAGAACTTTCATCCTCAAACCCTATTACTTACTTCCCGTGACATTACACTAATAACTGATTCACTCCAGTGCCTTCACTCATCCTCTACATCTTTCTGATATAAGCACTCATTAGACCTATGAAGGAGACAGATCTAGAGAAAGCTTATCCTCTCTTAAGGTCTTAGGCATCTGCAGTGCCCATTCTGAGGACTCTTGCTTCTTTTTAAAGTGTTTCCTTCCTAAAACTAAATTTTCAAAAGGTATATGAAAGTCTAAGACTTACTATGCTCATTCTGCCGCTTCTAGACAAATTTAGGATTAGGGTAACGATAATAAACCTTTTATCTATCTATAGCAGAGCTCAGTAAAAGAGCACATATGCTCCATAATACTCAAAATAAAACAGAAGCATTTAAGAAGTTAGTGATTTCAATTCAATGTAAAGGGAATGCCAATTTCAATACAAAAGGTTTCTCTGATTTATCCAAAGAGAAAGAAATAACAGATAAGCAAGGCTGACAATGGCTGGATCTGGGTCATAGATATGCTAAGGATAGTAACATTCTACTTTTGTATATGCAAACTTCTCATACCAGTTTTATATACTCCCACCCACACACTTTTTCTAGTTGACTTTGGAAATCAATAAATACAAAGAAGCTCAAAAAGAAAACATTTAAAACCTCAAAAATATTAGAAGGCAATTCTAAATTATCAATGCTAAATGGAACACGGTATTGATTATTCAAAAGAAGCCTAACAAAAAAGTTTTACTTAAAAATTTACACGCTAAATGGAAAGTGGAAGTACTGATAGAGAAGAGGGGTAAGAGTGCCACAACAAGAGGGGTATCTTCTGAATTTAATTTAGAACTATGTGAATTAGCTACCCAAAAATGAAAAAAAATTCAAAGGCCTTTTACTGAAGGAGTCCCTAACCTTTGGCCCAGAGGCGGATATAGGCACTGCGTGCTCACAAGCAGCAAGGTTCCCAGCTTAGCAATTTGGTGAAAGTGAGAGAGACCTGACACTGCATCAGGCTCCTGTCAGGCTATGCCCAGACAGCAGCACAGGACAGCCAGTCACGTGCCCACAGATCTGGGCAGTGGGAAGGGAAGGGGCCAGATGAACTCCGCCTACTACTTAGGGCAAAAGCCGGTCAGAACAGTATCAGCTCCCGGCACCCTTTCCTGGTGACACACCAAGCCAGAGGCGCCAGGTGACAGGCAGGGAGGCTCCCGATTTCTAGTCCAAAGGGGAGGGCAAGAGAAGGCCTCAAGCCCAGCAGGGGGAGGAGGGCACGGCCTCAGCAGCTCCTATCCTCCCAGGCTGCTCCTCCACTTTGCTCCCGCACAGCCCTATGGAAGTGTCCTCAGTGAAGAGGTCAAGGCTGAGCATCAGGGTGCAAAGGCCCCTCGGGCAATGCAAGGACAGAATTGCTGTGGTTATTCTTGGGCCTGGGGTGTAACTCTGCATTTCCTCTAAGAGTCGTGGCCCAATGGCATTCTTTAATTTTTTCCTCACACTTAGGTAAATCTGTTCCCTTGGCAAGAGTAGGTGCTGCAGAAAGCTTGATCAGTCTTGAGTGTTTCAATGGACCCACTACTATAACATCAGGTCTCTCTTTTTCCCATATTCAGATATTTTAAAAACTCTAGTAATAATCAACTTTCAGATGGTAGCTATTAAAACAGTGAGAAAATAAAATCAAACAGGGAAAGCACAGTACTTTAGCACTGTTAAGTAAGTGTAGGATTTCATATACAACAGGACTGTTAAAATGCCTTTAAGAGCTGGGCGTGGTGGCGCACCCCTATAATCCCAGCACTTGGGAGGCTGCGGCAAGAGGATCGTTGTGAGTTCGAGACTAGCCTGGGCTACAAAGTGCGCTCAAGGCCAGCCTGAACTGCACAGCGAGACCCTGCCTTAAAAAGGCAAAAAAAAAAGTTAACTTTCCTTTCATTGCTGAGACAAAATACCCAGCATCCATAGTTAAGGGAGGAAAGGTTCATTTAGCTCAGTTTGTAGGTGTTCAGCCCCCAACTGGCTCGCTCCAAGGCAGGTGGCATGGCCACTCGGGCACTGCAGAGGAGAAACAGTCCCTGGGGAGCAGAAAGTAGCAAAGCAAGTGAGACTTTAGCAGCTTCTTTCTGCCCCTTTTATACTCTATCTACGCTACCAGGATTAGGGTAGACTGACTTAGTGATCACACACCCTTAATCCCAGCATCACACAAGCTAGATTCAGCCGCCCCTGAAAAAGCCCCACGGATGACCACATGAGGTGGTGTCTAGACACAAGCCCTAAGAGCCCTCATGATGAGCTTCTATAGTTTACGTCTTCATTATCCCACAAAACTCTAATAATCCACAGCAGGCCTGGTCACTTGGTTGGAAGGGACAAGTCAAAAGCGGGTGTAACTTGGAAGGGCTTATTTTCTCTGGTTCCTCCCTGTTCTCTGATTTCTGACAAATAGTGCCACAGAACAAGATTTCCTCTGTCATGCTCTTTCAGTCATACTGTTTCTTCCATGGAGCCTGTAACCATAGACTGAACTCACAGAAACTGTGGGCCAAAATAAATCTGTCCTCTTTAAAGTGCAGATACTGGGTATTCTGTCCCAGCAAAAGCGAAGTAGCTTAGCTAATACAGAGCCCTTTTAAGTATCTTCTAAGAGTTACCCGCACAAACCCCAGTTCAATCTAGGGACCCTTAACATGTCATGCAGTTCAACACTGAAGATACACAAACCTAGGTATCACAGGCTAGAGTAAGTCACGAGGCCAGTAATATTTTCGTGATTTGCTGCAAGCCATTTGCAGCTTCAATAGTTTACACAACATGTATATACCACCTCAAAAACACACGAAAGAAAGTGAAAATATTGGTACAGAAGAGGGTAAGAGGGACTCACACTACACTGCCAGAAGAGGGACATCTTTTGAATTTAATTTAGAACTACGTGAATTAGTTATTCAAAAATGAGAAAAAATTCAAAGGCCTGTATTTTACTGAAGGAGTCCCTAACCTTTGGCCCAGAAATGGACATAGGTCCTTTTCCTATTAGGAACAGGGCAGCACTGCAGGAGGTGAGCAGAGGAGCTTCATCTGTATCTACAACCACTTCCCATAGCTGGCATCACTGCCTCAGCTGCACCTCCTCTCAGATCAGCGGTGGTGGTAAGGTTCTCAAAGGAGCACGAACCTTCCAGGGAACGGTGCGTGTAGGTTGTAAGCTTCCATGAGATTCGAATCCTGAAACTACCACCAGCCCAGTGGAAAAACTGTCTTCCACAAGGCCTATCTCTGGTGCCCAAAAGCTTGGGAACTGCTACTGTTTTACTGCACCGAAACTACAACTCCTAGGCTAACTCTTTAGGCTCAGCAGGCAAGCTGTATTAAATAACCTTACTGAGACTCACTATATGCCAAGCACTGTTTAGGTATTTCAAATATATTACCTCCAACCTTCACAACACAGGTATCACTTCACAGATAAGAAAACAAGCTCAGAGGTGATTTATTTAAGGCCTCAGAATTTTAAGCAGCAAACCAATCTGGCCTCCAATTGCACCACAGAGCTCCTAACTGGTTAAAGCCAACCAGTGATTATTCTTTTACTGCCTCTCTCCATCTTCCACCAGACTTCTTGAAAGCAGTCAACAGTAGCTATCCTCGAACATCTCCTCTGCTTCTACTACGGGCTTTTCATGGTCAATGCACACATCTGTTAAGGTTCTTCCAGTCCCTTCAACCAGCTGCTTCTCTCAACACTCTGCTTTGGTCATTTCATACACTCTCAGTTCCAAGGACACAAGTGAGCTTCCCTAGGCTTCAGCCCTCCATTACCAAGTTAAGCCTAGCTCAGGATAACCAAAACCAGGGCCCACACAGGAAGTGCCAAACGGACGCTCCCTCTATTTCTCCCTCTATTTTTCCCTCTACTCAGCAAGCTTCTGAGGTTTTAGCCACTAGAAGACGCACACCAGCAACTGCAACACGGTAGATGAGCAGCAAGAGCCACACTATAAACGTGACAGCCAACACTAACGTATTCTTTCCCTTAGGTCTTACATGCAATTTCATATGCTCTAAATGTTTCTAAAACTGGCCCTTCTTTTCCTAACTGCCCTTACTGTCCTTGCCTCAACTTACCGTAACCCTCTCAATTTCCATTCTATAAAAGAGTCAAGGATCAGTTTAAAATTTAAAGGAAGGGCATGCAATTCACCTGCTCAAAACCTTTCCCGTTTCTAAAATGAAATCAAAGCTATTTTTATGGCATGTAAGAATTCCCCATGATTCCTAGCCTCCACCTCTTCAGCCCCTCCAGGACCTTAGTACTGTATTCAGAGAACTTCACGCTGTGACCGGCATCACCTGATTACCTCAAAACCGTTTCCTTTCAACCTCCAATCCTGCCAGGGTGGGGAGGGGGTGCCCTCCTTTGGTCCACATACACCACGCATCTAGCCTCAGTCTTCTGATATCTACACTCATTCTTCAGGACAAATGACACCTTTGCCCACCAGGATGCTTCCCTTGCATGAACAGCTCTATCACTGTCACTGAATTTACCACACTGTATTATTACTTATTTCTTCTGAACTACATCAAGACCTTTCAAGGGGTCAATCACTACTGTTCACAGCACCCAGCACAGTGGCTGTCACTTATTAAATGATGGCTGAATACTAGCTGAGTACACAAAATAAACAGGGATTTCTACAGATAACTATTTCCTCCTATTCTCAACACACCAAAGCCTATGTCCTCCATCATTTTCTCTGCATTATTTCCAAAGCCTTAGGGCACACGAGTGTACACATGGCACAAAGGAATTTGGTGTTCAGGTGGCTATTTCCCCTGTCCTTTCTCCTCCTAAATGCTGTCTACTTCTTAATCCAGAACCACATAACTGCTTTATTTCCCAACGCTTCATCCCTCGATCTCTTCTTTACTACCTATGTGCAGCTTGCTAAATGCTTCCGTCTTCTTTGCATAGCGTTTCCTTTCACTTTTCCTATCCCTCTTGGCTCTCTAGTGAAGCCAAGTACTGTAATTACTCTTTGGAGACCTCCTCTAATTTCACGTGAAAGATTACCAATGTCGTCTTAGGTAATTTTTCATAGTCCTACTGAAAAGAGAAGTTTATGACCTTTTTCCAGATCCAAACGTTGGATACTGAAACAAACAAAAAAATCAAAGTTTTCGGGAGAGCAATGACTTCACCTTTGTTTTCATGTTTCACTGACAGTTTGAAGCACAGGAAAAGCCAGAGCACATGTTTTAAAGAAGTGTCGACAGCAAAACAGCTCCAGTTTCCTATATAATATTAGTTATGCTTGGGGAAAAAAGATGTGCTGAAAAGTTACACAATAGAAACCCAAATGCAAAAAAAAAAAAACCACCCTCAGGCATTTCTATACATATACCTTCCTTTCAGAAAAAACAGTAAGTTCTCTAACGTTCCCGCCTCATGAGCACTTTTGAAAAATTCCCTGAAGAGCTGTACGAACACGGGGAGTCAGCACAGTTTAACTCCACTTTCCCAAGAGGCTTTTTATAACTGAATACCCAGAGTACTAGGGTGCCATAATTTTAAAGTAAAAACACAACCGAACTACATTTACAAAGCAAAAGTTCACCTAGTTTGCGTTATCCAAATCTACTCTGACACCTAAAGCCATCTGACAGGTGACTCAAAAATCCCATGCTTTTCTGCCAAGTTTCAAATAAGGATTCTTGCTTTCTGACTACATAAAAATTCTGCACGTAGGTGAGACAAACGTGAAATCAAACATTCAGGCGTCTTCTAACCCAAGTATGCCACAGCGGGAAACAAGTAAGACTGCACGTGCTCACTACAGGGATGCAGCGCGCCAGTACGCAGAGAAAGGGGCTGTCTGGGGCGCTGGTGACACAGGTGAGTGTGGGGGTCAAATGCACCACCTGGACGCTGCAGCGTGTTTTGTTTTTTACATCTCAAAATCAGAGGGAATGATAAAAGAGGAAAAAGGAAAAGAAAGGCTCATAAAAGAGAAAAGAAACGCAGCCACGGCACCCTGGAGCGAAGACGTGTCGGGGGTGGGCCCCGAAAGCGCCCTTAAGCCTGCCCCGAACGCCAGCGTCAGAAGCTGCGCCTCCGGGTCCCACGCCCGCCTCCTGCCCGCGCCCGCGGACCGCACGGGGGACTCCGCCCCTACTTCCGGGACGCGGCGGCTCTCGCTCGCGCCAAAATCGCTCCCGGCCTCGAGCCCGCCCCGCGCGAGCGGGCGCCCTTCCCGTCGGGCCCCTCGCCGCGGCGCCCCTCCCGCGGCCCGGCCCCGGCCCCGGCCCCGGGCTCACATCTTGCGCTGGCGCTCGAACTCGGCCTTCTTCTCCTCCTCCTCGCGCTTCTGCTTCTCGTCCAGGCTGCTGCGCTTGCTCACCGTGCGCCCGAAGATGTCGATGCGGTCGGGCGGGGACGAGGCGCGCTCCCGCTCCCGCTCGCGCCGGGACGCCGCCGCGTTGGTGGAGCGCGAGCGCGAGCGGGACTCGCGCCGCCGGTTGCGCTTGCTCTCCCGGGACTTGGAGCGCTTCCGCACGCGCTCCTTGTCCCGCGAGCGCGAGCGGGAGCGGCTGCGCTTCTTGTTGTGCTTGCTGCTCTTGGCGTGCTTGGAGCGCGACGAGCTGCGGCTCCGCGACCGGCCCATCCTTCCGGAGACGCGCCGACGCCCGCCGGCCTGCGGCCCTCACGCGCGCACGCTCGCCGCCGCGCCCACGCGAGCTGGCGGGCCTGCGGAGGCTGCGGGGAGGAGCGCTGCCCGCCGGCTAACCTTCCGCGGCTCTTCGCGGGCTCCCACCGCCACGCAGGCCGCCTCTGACGGGAAGGCCGCAGCGCAAGGAGTCTTTAAGATGGCAGCTGCGGCTGCACCGGCCGCCCTTCCCACAATGCCTTGCGCGGAACGTGCCGAAGCGTGCGTCCCGCCCTCTGACGGAGGTTGCCGAGGATTGGCGAACGTGTCTGAGCGCCCTCGGCTCTTTCCGTCTTGCTGCCGGAAGCCTGAAACTGTTGGCTGTTGGCATTGCTCCGAGGGGAAATCTGAGTATTCTGGCACAAAGCCAACGCCAAGGAGAATGAGCGCCTTACCTTTTAGTGTCATTTTGGACATGCCTTGGCAGGAGTTAATTGATTGCATTATTTTCTAGGAACTGTCTTGCTCAGCCATCCCTAAGTTATATCCCAGTCACCCTGGGCAGATCGCCTCATTTGAGGGGCTTTCTGAAGCGGCTTGAAACATCCGAGAAGATAAATTATGCAGCAAGTAGTACCGTGATCCCCGCTTCAGAGATGGGCGCCCGCGGGTCCAGAGAAGCAAAGCAAGTCCCCAGGGTCACAGAGCTGGCAGGTGACAGAGCAGGACCCAGCCCTAGGTAAATGGTGCACATGCTTTGCGCACGACCAGCAAGCCCCGGTGAGCTCTGTCCAGGAAAGTTGGGCTTTTAGGTATGTCAATACGCTGTCAAGCCCCGCCACAAAAGAGGCACCATTGAGATTTCCGGATGATAGGGCCCAGCACTTGGGAGGCTGAGGTAGGAAGATCACCAGGAATTTGAGGCCAGTCTAAACTGTATAATGAGACCCTGTCACACACACACAAAAAGATGACGGGGAACACTGAAAATCTGGCTATCTCACTGTTAAAACTTAGTTCCTTAAGTGGCTTCATCCAAGGTAGATAAGAGAAAAAAAATCAGAATCTTTTGAGCAAGAAACAACTATTAAATGAAGTAATAAAGTTTTCTACACAATGGCAACGAAAGCCATAAAATACTTAAGAATAAGCCTCATCAAGTTACAAAATCTTTATGATCAACCTTTATGATCAACCTTGGCTGAATCACAAGGTCAGGTGGAGTGAATGGAAAAACAGAAGTTGTTTTTTTCAGGTGAGTAGTCTACATCAAAACTATGCCAGTTCTTCCCAAATCAAATCTAAAACTTTATGCAATTCCTATGAGAGTCCCAAGTTCTTTTGGCAATGTGTATGTTAGAACTCATTAAACAGCTTCACATTTTACATAGAAGATCACATAATTGTGAACTACATTTATAAAAAGCATGGAAAAGAAGAGTAATGTCTTAGTGCATTTGGACTTCATTTGGATCTTCAGTGTTCCCCATAAGTTTGTGTAGAAGAAGGCTTCCTCATCAAGACAGCAGCAGTTAGAGATGGGGCTTTTGCCCGTTGATTGGCGCACAAGGTATCTGACCTTATGAATGGTTTCATCCACTTAGGGATTTAGCTTAATGAACTATTGGGCAGTGGTGGAGACAACAGGAAACGAGTCATTGACGTGTGTCTTTGAAGGATATATTTATTGCTGGGCCCTTTTTCCTTTCCCTCGCACTCTCTTTATCTCTCTCTCTCTCTCTCTCTCTCTCTCTCTCTCTCTCTCTCTCTCTCTCTCTCTCGGTGGCCACAAGGTAAGCAGTTTTGCCCTCCCCACTGGGATATTCAGCCCCAACAGAAGCACAAAAGCAATGGAGCCAAGTGACTATGGATTGAAATCTCTGAAGTCGTAGGCCAAAATAGTCCCATTATTCCCAGTTCTTCATATTCCCAGTTCTTCACCTTGGGTATTTTGTCACAGTGATGCAAAGCTGACAAACACTGGCTGCTGTAATAAATTACCAAACACTGGGTCCCTTGTAAAACCAGACAAATTTATTTCTGGAGTTTGGGAGGTCTAAGATTAAGTCACGATCAGATTTGTGTGTTGAAGGCTCTCTCTGATGCCAGGATGGCACCTTGTTTTTGTAGCCTTGGAAAGGAACAAACACTGTGTGTTCACATAGCAGAGTAGCCGAGGTAAAGGACAAAAGGGCAAACAGAGTAGGACTTGCTTTTTAAAGCTTCCCATGAGAATATTAGTTCCCTTTATAAGCACTTATTTGTAAGAGTGGCATGGCTTGTTTCTGCGTGTCTCCCTAAAGCTTCATGCAGTCATAGCTGAGGCTTTGGGGAGGTGGCTAGATGATGGGGGTGCATTACTGGATTACGAGGGTGATAACTGAATTCATCCGCTGATTGGACGAGTATAGAATGGATTTACTAGAGACGGATGCCCTGCACAGGGTGAGGGTGGAGCCACTCAATGGGCTTGTAGCCTGGGTAGAATATGAAGAGGGAAGACAGACTTACTGCACCCTGTCTGCCCTGCCTTGGGCTGTTCTTCTCTGCAGTGGCCCTCTGTCATGCTGCTTTGTGTTGGTTACAGCTATGGGCTGAAACTTCTACAAACTGTGAGCTAAATAAACCTTTCCTCCTTCAGCTTGTGTGTATCTGGTATTTTGGCCCAGTAACAAGAAAGCAAGATAAAGATAAAGAGCTCTTATAATGTAATTCTTTCCATAAATACTCCCTACTCTCAATACTCTCATATGGTCTATTAGGTTCTGACACATGAATTTTGGAGGGAGGCGTACGTTTAAGACAGCAGTGTCCTAATGAAACAGTCCCATGGGGGATTGTTCACCCTTCCCATGTAAGGACAGGGCAAGACCTCTCCACCTATGAAGCAGTACCCAGCACTGGTTCTGCTGATACCTTAGTCCCAGACTTCTCACCTCCAGAACCGGGAGCAATAAGTTTCTGTTGCATACAAATTACCCTGTCTAAGGCAGCCTAAAAGGACTAAGACCCTAAACCCAAGGGCTCATCTCCCCACTTCCTAGTGCCACCTTATTAGTAATTAGGTTTCAACGTAGGAGTTGGGGGTAGGGCCTTCAGATCATAGCAAATAGCAAGTGTGTGCCCTATGCCAAATTAAGACATTAGTACAGGCAGAAAAATAGTGGAACAGAAGGATAGATTATCTTTTTTTCTTTGAAATAAATAATCATGTGAGGTAAACTATGTAGAAATAACCTCACTATAATGGAAATTTTAGTATTTGTATATCTATGTATAGAAATACACCATTTGTGATACATATAAATCAATATATATATACATACATACATTTAGGATATACAAATGTGTCTTTATGAGGTGTGATCAAAAATACAATGAATGCTATAGGCATTAGAGACCTCTAGATACCAAAACTATTTTGGTTCTATTTAAAATGTGCAATTCTCTACAAAGAATCCAATTTTTCCCCCTCAGCAAGGCAAGTAAATGATCATCAGATTCTCCTGAAATAATAAGAGGCCCTTTGCAATGCCGGGCTGGTCAATTATAAGAGTTTGTCTATATATGAATAAATAAATGACCAATGCCTCTCTAAGAAAATGTTCCTTCTTACACCAGAAAGAATGGCAATCATCAAATAACAGATGCTGGCATGGCTATGGTAAAAGAGGAACCCTTCTAGTTGGTGAGAATGTGAGCTAGTATAACCATTCAGCATGGAGATTTCTCAAAGAACTAAAATTAGGAATTCTATTTGATTCATGTATTCCTGGTCAGTGATACTTGCACACCAATTTTTACAGCATCATGACTGATAATAGCTAAATCGTGGAAGTAACCTGTATGTCTCTCAACAGACAAACTGGATAAAGAAAATGTGGTACCTATACATAAGGGAATACCATTCAGCTATAAAGAAGGAGAAATTTGACACATTTATAGGAAAATGGGTACACCTGGAAAATATAATGTTAAGTGAAATAAATCAGACACATAAGCTTAAAATTCTGTATAATATCTTTCATTTGAGTAAGGCAAAAGACAAAGAGCAAAATAAAGGGATGATAGAAAGAAATAGGAAAAAAAAGAAGGAAAAGGGGAAACAGACCTTTCACAAATGGAAAAGGGCCCACGGTGAGAGGAGTGGGTGATGAGAAAGGGAAGTAAAAAAATTACAGATGTGCCCTGTACAGGTACCAGATACCCACAAGGAAGGTAAACACCACATGTCATAAACAAGCACTAAACATCATAATTATAAAAATGGAGAAGGGGGACTTACAGTCGAGAGAGCAAGTGGGGAGAGGGAGAGGAGAATAAAAAAGAAGATGCTGAGTCCTCTTTTTTCCCTTTCCCATTCCCCTCCCTTCAGCCCCTCTTCCCCTTCTTATTTACAAAACTTTGTTCCTTTTTATCCTTTTCTTATTTGTTTCTTTTCCCTTCCTCCCCGCCCCCCAGTTCCCCTTTCCTTTTGAACAGTTTCCTCCTATTTCAGCCAGAGAACGTGCTCAGACTGGACGGGTGAAGGAGAGGGCGGATCTCAGACAGGCGGGAGTTGAGCTGGGCAGGCTCTGACAGGAGCTGGTCCAGAGCCAGCCGCCAGGGCTGCAGTGCCAAACCAGAAACTCCTTGGACTTGCTACGAGCCTTTGTTGAAATGGAATCTGAAGGTTGTTTAGGGCTAGTGACTTGGATCGGGGGAAGCCCTATCCTCAAAATCTCAGGCATCCCAAGAGTTAGGCAAAAGGATTTTCCTTTTTAGAATTTTTTACTTTTATTGGTACATGATTGCAGTAACAGTGACTGCATTTGCTGTGGGTGTTGGTGCACGTACACATCACATCTCAGTTCCTTTTTCATCCTTTTCCCCTCTTCTGCCTCCCCCCTCACTCCATCACTTGGTCCCCTCCCCATTTTCGAAAGATCTGCATCCCTGTTTCCGGTTACCTGCCTTCTGTTTTGTACTTTATTTGTACTTTGGGTTTTTCACCTAAGAGAAACCATGTGATGTTTAAGCTTGTGTGTCTGGCTACTTCACTTAACATTTCTTTTACAGAAAGCAGTAAAGAAGTCTGGGAAGCACTGGGCTAGAGATG